GGGTAAAGTCTATAATACAGAATCCGATTAATAGCCTTGTCCTGCTCTAAACTTTTCAGGCAATCTATTAGTTTCTTCTTGAAAAAAAAGCCTGAATTTTGCCTGAAACTCTCAGACTGAAGAAGTCTCTTGGAAGAGAGACGAAACGTTTCATTAAAGAAGAACCCGTCCAGAGGACCTATACAATTTTTTTCCTTTTGATTTTTTACCTGGATTACTGAGATGCATCAGGACATATGAATTGTTTTGTAAATGCCTGCAGTAGAAAATCTAAAGTAAAGAAGAACTATTTGCCATTTAGAGTCATTTTTAATCAAAGTCTTCTTCCATCATCTATACTGGCTTCTTCCTTTCAGGGTCACTGGGTCCACATCCAGCAGGGACAGGGGACACGAGGACAGGTCTCCAGTCCATCACAGGGACACACAGAGACAAATGAGACAATGATTCACTGTCTCACTCACACCTGGGGTAACACGTTCTCACTCCCGACTTGTCAACACATTGATGCTTGGTCAGGGACCGTCTGGGTCCAGTTTTGATGAATTGGGTACTCCCCTCGCATCAGTCCTTGCCGCCCACGGCTTCTCTGGGTTGCGCCACTTAGGGGTCTTTGGGTTGGGGGTCTGAGGTTAGTATGAGGGATCAGGGTTAATGGTTAATTTTAGGTACTGGGGTCAGGGATAGGCTGTATAGGGCTAATAGAAGTTAAATTTAGCGTCTGAGGTGGTTAGTTTCGCGCATTTCTTACTCTTAAAAAAATACGACAACGTGCTCCTCCTCCTCCTCCACCTCATCTCGTAAAAAATCTGACACGTGGGGGTACCCGACACGTCAAAACTGGATGCAGACGGCTACCTGACCAAGCGTCAATATGTTGATGAGTTGGGAGTGAGAACGGGTTGCCTATAGTTTAGAGTTATCAATTAACCTGACAGTCATGTTTTTGGTGTGTGGGAGGAAGCTGGAGAAAACCCACACATGCACAGAGAGAACATGCAAACTCTACCCAGAAAGGTCCCCGGGCCAGGATTTGAACCAATTCAATTCAATTCAGTTCAATTCAGTTCAGTTTATTTATACAGCACCAGGTCACAACATACGTTGTCTCAGGACACTGTACATAAAAAGAACAATGTAAAGAAGAAACCAGCAGATTGTGTTGGATCACTTCAACACAGTCTCCCATCCTGAGCAAACGGTGGAGAGGAAAAACTCCCTGCTAATCAGGAAGAAACCTCCAGCGTCCTTCTTGCTGAGAGGCTTCAGCTCTACCAACATTCAATTCAGGTTCATATAATAATATTTTGATGCTAAAACTCAGAAATGTGTTGGTTTATTGTTTCAGTTAAATTTTAATTATGTAATAAAATCTTAAAAAGGTAAATCTGGTCAATTTAATGGTACTGGTTTAAATAAAGTAATCTGTAATAAACACATTCAACATTCAGTTGTTGAGAGCTGCTAAATAAAAAATGTTGAAATCATTTAATCTCTCTTCTCTACATGTTTATTGTAATTATTTCTATCAATAACGTGTTTTTTCGTTGTCTCTTCCAGAAGAAGGTGCACCTGGACCAGTCCTGGACCAGTTCTTCTGTGTTTGTCTGTGTCTCTTTCCTGTCCCTCAACCAGCCGGTCGAGGCAGATGGTCTCCTGTCCTGAGCCTGGTTCTGCTGGAGGTTTCTTCCTGATTAGCAGGGAGTTTTTCCTCTCCACTGTTTGCTCAGGATGGGAGACTGTGATGAAGTGATTCAACACAATCTGCTGGTTTCTTCTTTAGATTGTTCTTTTTTATGTACAGTGCCCTGAGACAACGTATGTTGTGACTTGGAGCTATATAAATAAACTGAATTGGTTTGAATCTAAGTAAGCAGTTTAATGAAAAATTTTTTAAATGACATTGAAAAAATACATTTTACATAAAACATCCATCCATTTTCTGTACACGCTTCTTCCTTTTCAGGGTTGCGTGGGTCACTGGTGCCCATATCCAGCAGTCACAGTGCGAGGGGCGGGACACCCTGGACAGGTCGCAAGTCCATCACAGGGACACACATAGAGACAAACGAGACAAACAACCATTCACTCTCTCACTCACACCTAGGAACAATTTAGAGTTATCAATTAACCTGACAGTCATGTTTTTGGTCTGTGGGAGGAAGCCGGAGTGCCCGGAGAGAACCCACGCATGCATGGAGAGAACATGCAAACTCTACCCAGAAAGGTCCCCAGATAGGGATTTGAACCGGTGACCTTCTTGCTGAGCGGCATCAGCTCTACCAACTGAGCCACCGTGCCGCCCAATACATAAAACAAATAATAAATAAAAAATGTATAAATCACTTCTAACATAACTTTATATTTTTGCATGAACCATTCAGGTGGTTCTTACCCAGAGGGTCAGGCTTGCCATCTTTGTCAGGGATGGTGAAGACCCCTGCGATGGTGTGGCCCTCCTTCTTCAGCTCTTTATAAACCTCCTGACCAAACAGACTCTGACCAATCACTGCGATCTTCATCCTCAAGGGCCTGCTGGTTTCTGATGGCAGGGATTCACAAAGACAAAAGAAAAATACAATGAAGTTTAGAACGTGTTTGATTTGATTAGCTTTGCCTGAATGGGTTCAGAATGAAGTTAAACTGATGTCATAATAATCTGAGTTTTATTTAAACATGTTGGTCAGAAAGTTTTCAGCGTTAAATCCAGACTCTTATTTTATAAAACTTCTTCATTCATTCAGTCCTTTATGTTAAATATTTATGCTCTCTATATCCAGCACTTAATATTCACACAACATTTTAAAATCTAACCATTCTGAAGGGATGCAGATCAGCTGTCTTTCAAACTAAGATCCTTTGATGAGAAATTAAGTAACAGATGTTTTTATCAAATCTTGAAAATAACTTTATGAACAATCTCATCAGGTGTAAGGTACTACCACGAATAATGTACCAGTATGTGTAAAATGTACAGTTAGAGTTCATGATGTTTCATCAAAACTACAAACCAAACAGACAAAAACAGTCTTGTTATCAGAGATGTGATGTTCACCAACGATCTGAGTCGTTTCAACTCCTTAAAACGAACGACACCAAGTTACAGACAGAACTTCGTACTTTTATTTTTTTACTCCTCATAATAGCTTTAATTATTCCTCCTTAAAAAATTAATCCCAATGATTGTGGGTGCAGTTCCATGTTCAGACACTAGTGGCGCTAATGAGTCAAGTAAGAAAGTCCAGCATGACTGAATTCTTATTCTCTTCTTAAGAAAGTTTGAACTATCCTGCATAAAAAGTCTTTCAGCTGACAGACAATGGCTGGATTTCATCACATGCTGTGAGTTTGAGGAAATTTTATATAGTAAAAATGCATGTAAAATATGTATAAAAGTATTTACTGTGCAAGCTTTTACAAGTGTTTGAATATGTAAAAATGTTATAAATGTATAAATATTAAATGTATACATCTTACCAAAGCTAGGGATTTGTGTGAAAGGATGCTAAACAAATACTTGGCTCCTTCACAAATATTGTGGCCACTTAATGGCCTCTTATTCAGAAAAATCCAGATCCACCACTGGCATTCGTCCATATTAGGCCTTTAGTTTTGGAAAGCTGCTAAATGATTATTGTGATGGTTTCAGAAAGCACAGCTTCAGCTCGTTGTAGTAAAACCTGTTTTTAAAGCAACATTTTGCTTTTTAAATTCAGCACAACATCTTTGGCTTCAGAACTTATTATAGACAGTTTATTGACTTTGAGAGGGACGGGGTCATATTTCCATAAACCAATCACATCCTGAAGTTCAGCTCATGTCTCTGCTGCAAAGAGAACAGCTGAAGACTGAGCAAAGTTCAGACAAACAGATCAGTGAAGTCAAGTTTCAAAAGTGCATTACGATAAGAAACCCTCCAACACCTGACCTTTCTTACATGCACGGCTTCTTTTAGGACATTTTGATCTTTACTAAATAAAGTGCAGACTTAAGCTTGAGTTTCAGGGAGTGCATCATGTAAAGACAGCTGAAGTGAAAGTAACTCACCCTCGCTGCAAACCCAGACTCCTCCTCTGCTCGCGTGAAAAGAAGGATGAGAAGAAAATAACTGGCTTTTAATTTCCTCCCCTCAGTCACACAAGCAGGCGGCCCAATTACATAACCCAGGCAAGCAGCAGGGTGATTGGACCGTGCTGCGTTTAGGGTGGTGGGTCAGCAGATCAGCACAAAGACGGATTGGATGCTGTGAACAGCCAATCAGCGTGAAGAGTGAGAGAGTTCAGTCACAGCTCAGGACACTGTGGTGAACGTGTGAAAGGTTACAGCAGGGCCTGAAGAGTCCTGGAGCGGAGCCAGGCCCTCACACGCCGGGGCCAAAGCTCCAGGCTTCATGTTGACCTGTTAGATCCAAACCTGGATCAGTCAGCAGAACTTTCTGTTGAAGATCTATGAGGAGAACAGACTGTACACACGTAAGAGCAAAGATTCAATCCACAGATAAATTCAGCTGAACTGGATCAGCTTCATGTTACATAAACAATAAGAGTACAAAACCTTTCTGTTGTCCCTGCTGAAAATAAAAACTGCACCAATTTTTATACTCATATTTCCAAATATAATCAAAATGTACTTATGTTCTGAACAAAGATCATTTCTCTGCATGTTGGTGCAGACTGGAGGAATAATCCTGAATTAACATCAACAATTAAAGTCTAGATAAGATATTAAAACCAAGGAGGTCCAATAGAACAGCTGGAGTGTGCATAAACCAGGTGATCGTGTGATCGGCTGGAGAAGCTAACGGCTAACGCTAAACAGGAAAGTCTGGATTTACCATTCCTGTACATGTTGACAACAGAGCAGAAAAAAGGACTGACGATGTAGAAATCATTAAAACTATTAATAATAATATTAATACAATTATTATTAATATTTTACAGTTTATAT